CGTGGCTTAGTTGGTATAGCGTCTGTCACGGTATGCAAGAAGATGTCGGTTCGAATCCGACCGGATCAAAGGAAATTTTTTCTGAGTGTTTTTTCTGAGTGTTCGTAACTATAACAAACTAGTGGAGTCATTTCACAAAAAATAATTGAATATCAATTCAATAAAAATTTAATTATAACTACAACTATATAACTTGCTAAGTGCTAAATATAGCATTAGCATTTAGCGTACTCAAGCGTAAAATTTAACATCAATAAATCAATCAGCTATTTCGCGTTTCGCACCAAATGTTAAATGCAATAAATAATATGTGAAAGTATTTCACGTGATAATTGCTTCAACCAACGACAAGAGCCGCAATTTGATATTAATTAGCTATTTCCCATTTTCACATAGAATATAGTGCCATCTATGAAATATTAAGGGAGATAATTCAGGACGAAGAAGGTTTTGTTTGTTAGCTGCGTAAGAAAAGCACGGATAGAACGGCATTTTTGTTTATTGACAAATAAATAAACATTGTAAAATAATTCCGTGTTCTGAAATTATAAAAACAATTGAAATGAGCTCGTAAACTACTGTACTTCCATGTTGTGTACGTGTATTGTGCCGTCTAGCAATAGAATACAGTGAAATCATTGTGTGAAATGTGATTGGCGTGCAGAAATAACCTCAATTTTCTAAAGAAAATTTTATTTCTTCCAGCATAAGTTAGGTGTGCCATTGAAATATACCCTATCTAGTAGGAAATTTATCCACCTTTCTAGTCATATATAACACATTCCATATAATTATACAGAATAACGTTTTTTTGCGGCAAATTGGATTTTTTCATTAGTTTTTTTGACCTTGGGTAACGTGTGGGAGGTTATTTATTGCATGAAAAGCTCACTATTCTACAACTTTTACGCCTTATAAAGGTTTTGTAATACTACCAAAAGAAAAAAATCGCTTAGAAACATCGCGTTTTGTAGATAATCATAAAAGCTTCATAGGAGTGAATATTCTCTTCTACAAGATCCACTACACTAAAGCAAGTAAAAATAATCTTTTCGTGTTTTAAAGTTTTTCTATAGATAAAGCTATAGACAAAATGCTCCTAACAGTGTTTTGAAAAAAGCTTGAAATTCTTATCGCCTTTTTTATTTTTAAAGAATGACTATGATGTAGCCGAGAAAAATTTCTTTTTTTTTTAAAAAGTAAACCTAATATGAAATTAGCTTGAATAAGCCTAGAACTTCTTGGAAATGGTTTGTTTTGTGAATTGTTTTGTATATAAATATACAAATAAAAAAACAGCTTTCTATAAATATTTAAAACCGAAAATCGATAACGGTATTTTTATTAAGTTAATATTTATACATAAATATTTAAAATTCAGCGAGCTCATTAGTCTTATGACAGGTTTTTCATTACTTTTCACAATGTATTTAAAGTCGCAGGTCAATTCGCGCTTTCTAAACGATTAAACATTGCGCGAAAAAGTCAGAAATATTATATCTAATTTCGCCATGTTGCAATTTTGATAGTTTATATTTTCTAAGCCATTAAACTTGAAATCTAGTAGTATTAAGAGAATTGTGTCTTATGTTTGTAATGCTTTAGTTATTTTGGTTTTAAAATAGCATTACTAAGAAAACTATCATAGACTATACATTATCTAAGAACTATCTACAAGACAAATCCCGTTCTACAAATTTTTACAAACAAGGTCTTGTAGTATTCTAGAAAGGTTAATTGAGAAAAAAGATAAGAATCACTCTTAACACTACCTACTGATAATTTCTCAAAGCACTCTTGTGATCTACTAATAAAGTTGTGTCCAATTTTTCCTTTAAATTATCTAGAAAACCTTCTTCGAGATATCTAAAGGGAATTTGAACTCTTAAAATATTCAATCGAATTAAATTCTATTTTAGATATAGGTAGATATAGGTGGTGCTTGGGCACCTTCGAAATTCTGTTATATTTTGGAAGTATTAGTTGTAGTAGTGTAGTAGTAGTTGTATAAAATTGGATTGCTTATAGAGAGAGAGAGAGGTATTGATTTTGAACATTGTTTACTTTCATTTTACATAAGTTACTTGGAACATTTTATGTACACATATAATTTTTTTATGCATTTTATATATAATGAAAATTACACACAATTACTTATTGTTTATTCAATGTTTATGTCAATTATTATCCTATAACACGATATTTTAAATTGTAATATTGTGATATTCGTAATGTAAAATAAATTATTATATTGTAGTTAAACAAAAAATATTGTTTTTGACGAGTTATATCCCCTGAATTTTCGTTAATACCTGTACCTGTAACTTATACGTAGTTCACGATAACCTAGACTCGACATAACATAGATTCGACACTGCTTTTAGGTTTGTAGTAGCAGTAGAACGCCTTGTAAATAAATAGAACAGAAGAATAGAATCGACAAGCGGCATTGTGAACATTACTGCGTTTCGGTTTTGAAGGATAAGGGTACTAGTGAAGTTACATGCACAAGGGACTTGGCAACTTATGTCTCAGCGTGACGAGTGCAATGGCAGTGCCCCTCAGGTTTTTGCGACTTAAATTTCTGAGTGACATTGCAACTGCCATGAACAGGATGTCGCTTACCGCCAGGCGCACAACTAGTTCGTCCAGTCACTTATAATACAAAAAAGTATTTAGTTGTGTTATTAATTTTTATAGGTACTTCATGTGTTACTCTCAAACGTTGTTGGTATTAAACTTTCGAGGAAATAATATATTTCAACACGGTCTGAAACAACTTCAAGATTTTTTAACATCTGAAAGAGTAAATAAGGAAGTAACAAAACGAGTCGTAGCCCATTTCACTTATTGGTGGATAAGGTAATTTACTGTTTAATATACGTATGTAGTAAATTTAAATGTTAAGTGAAATGAAATGGATACCTGTAGTGTGCCTGTAGAGCTTAAAATTTATTTTGCGATTATTCCAGAACAAAAGGAATAAACGTACAAAATTTGATGTCCGAACGCTTTGGTTTGATTTTTCGACAAGATCTAAGTTTTTATTTTTTTAAATCGTAAGTTTAAAAGTATGCAATATGTTTACCACATTATTTCAGAAAAGAAAAGAGAAAGCACTGACAGTCTTTTGACATTTACAGGACTGTACTTGCTGCAAATACGATACTTCAGGGAGACATAAATTTTCAACGAAACTTAGCATGTCACATGATTCTGACTTATTTTCTTCCCGGTGGAGACATAATGAGAGAAATGGATTTGACGTCAACCATTTACTTTGTGCACCGTGGAAAGGTGCAACTATACAAGAATGGCCAGAAAGTTGCTTTGCTATCTAAAGTACGTAGACGTATATCGTCGAAGTAATAAACAAAATATGTGCTGTTGCATTATAGTATTATATAAATGAAATGTTTTTAGGGTTCCATTTTTGGCCAACTTAGAGACAGTGTGCTACGTCCGATCCGCGTAACGGCGACTGCTGCAGAACATGCTGACATATTGTGCCTGTCTCTCAAGCAGTTCCACGATAGCATTGACGAAGAAGTGAGTGAGTGACGTGTATACTCCGCCCAATCATTTAATTCCAATCAATTAGGCTGCCTTTCCATCAGAGATGTGCGAGGTAGCGAAGCGGTGTGAAATGATCGGATATTTTCCACCAAAGCTGTGCGAGGATGCGTTACGAACTCATTTTAGTCGTGTCCGGGCGGGATACGGTGTGGAGAGCGATGCCGATATGTCAGTGTCAGTTAGTGTCATACTTTCAGTACTCTGGTTTCCTACACCGTTTTGCACACATTACTCGCCCGCATGCCTCGCACACATCTCGCAAACATTTCTCGCTATTTTGTATGTACAAATACTTAGCTCCGCTAACCCTTTCCCACCGGAGCTGCGCTAAGCGAGGCTAGTAATCCTATTGGTGGTCTTTTCCTCGCACACCGCCTCGCTACGTCGCACATCTCTGGTGGAAAGGCAGCCTTAGTGACATCCTAATGCGTTTCGTATTCGATTTTTTATAACGATCGAATTTATGAAGAAGTTTTAACCGTGACTGCAGGTTCAAAAAAGAAGATATTGTCTGATTGGGATCGTGATGTTGCGTTTAACAATTTGTGTACTCAAGTATTAATAATTCATTATGTGATGATTCCCATTCATATGGAGAAGAATCCGACGATTCATTATAATAAACAATAATAATTGAAATTTTTATGGAATTGATGTTCAATTATTTTTTATATGAAATTACTCCACTAGTTTGTTATAATTACCAAAAAGGCGTTGAAAAACAAAATACAAAGACACGACAACAAGCAAATAGAAAAATTCGTGAAATCCACTGGTTCGTTCCGTGGCTTAGTTGGTATAGCGTCTGGCACGGTACGCTAGAAGACGTCGGTTCGAATCCGGCCGAATCGAAGTGTTCGATCTTTGTATTAATAATAATTTATTCCATTTCATTATAATTTATTAGACAAGTACCAAAATATGTCAATTTGAATAATCTTCGTTACGTCGACTCGATAAATATCAAAGCTAAAAACTAAAAAATTTACTACTAAAACTTACTAAAATTAAAAAATAAAAAGAGTCCAGGAAGTATTGCATTTTTTATCCATTATATGTCAATAATTACAGAACTTCGGAGGCATGCATATGCCAAAAGTTAAATAAATGGTTGGACGGACTATAATCGTTGACTTATATTTTATAATATTGTTTCGACTACATTGCAGATTCGGAATAATATCAACATCAATCCTCAATCAGAGGATGATTACGTGGAAATATTGCAGCAAATTCCTGAAAAAGCAGCCGATAATATACAATACATATTACGTGGACAAAAACTGATAAAACTACCTGTAAGTAGAACTAGTCGCCTTTCAAATTAAGTCCCAGTGACCCTTTTTAAAACTATGAATGTCACAAGAAAAAAGTAGATATTTACCCACTGTCTCCTCATTCTTCTCGTATCGATAGCACACACTTTAATGTTAGCCTTAACAGTGAAAGAATTTGCCAATCGGCGTAAGGTACTCGCCGATTGTAACCCAGGGTGTGCCAGACGTACGGAACAGAACAGACTGACGGAATGGAGCAGTACATCGTGGGGGTGGGCACTCTAAAAAGTAATAACATTGAGTATATAACCAGAATATAGGGACGAAATAAGCGCTACCCATCCCTAGCAACTCATCAGGCAAATGGGCCTTATATCACTTTTAAATATCAAATTCGTTTTCACTGAAATCAAAAATTAGAAAGCTGAAATAGTACAGCACCAACAACTGACCTGTGTGTACGTCTCCGCGCGTATATTCCAAAAATATTCTATATTTATTGTAATAAAGATGGTGGTGTGGGAAAATCAGCAAAACATCTAATTATAAAACAAACCGAATCACATTTCGTTGGTAATTAAATATTAAATATGTAATTTTTCAAATTTCGTCTATTATAACAAAGCACAAGTTAAACTGGTCGATTTGAAGTGAAACAATTGTTTCGAATTCGGGCTGACCAATCGGAGCGCAGTTGTCACCGTAATGATATGGCAGAATAGTTTCAAATCAATTAAATGATATTTAGTCTCTATTTCTAGTTATATACTCGATGAGTAATAAAGAGCTCGACTTTGTATTTGGTCTGTGTTGATCACTAAGTGAAAATTGGGACTTTATTCTATTTATGTAGGTACTATTGCATTTATGTAGGTACTATTGCATTTATTTATCATGTACCATTTGTAATTAATTCACAGAAAATGCAGAGTCCAGTAACTGTTGAACAAAGTAAATTGTATGCTGGCTGGTTATATTGCGCTTTGTTCATCGGTCCATTCTGTACTTTCGTTATGATTCTGATGTTGGGCGTAGTAGATGGAGAAACAAGAGACTTATTTGTGTACATTTTAATACTTTTTGATGTTATACACCTGGCCAACTTAGTGATGGAATATTTCACGGTAACGGTAGTCTTTGTATACTCTATGTAATTCCTTTTTAACTCTCATGTGACTATCGAGTTCTTAGGTTTTTGCGATTGTTACACATAGCAAATGAAACTATTTTTCCGGATTTAAATCGCGTTTATTTGATTTGTTGTTTGTTTTGAAATAAATCTGAAAAAATAGTTTCATTACTCATGCGATTCTTAGTGCGATTTAATATTATTATAATTCCACATACCTATTTATTGATACATAATATGAGATAATATTATACTGAAAAAATGGATAAAGGTCTTAAGTTTGTGAAATAGTTATGTTTTCATTGCAATTACTACATATATGTAGGAATAGTGAAAGTATCAAGTTATCGTCCTTTTTTACAGATGGAGCTAAAGGTAGTTAACGACGAATGTGTGTACCAACACATTCGATTAAGAAAACTCCTAAATATAACTTTCTTTTTTGATGTTATGTCATTTTTCTTTGCTATTGTGGGATACATCAGTCGTGTATGGGAGTTCCATTTTGGGCGACTTGGGAGAATTTATTGCATTTTAGTGTTTTATAAGCACTTCTGCAAACATTTTGAAGTAAGTACCTAATTAAAAAGGTAGAAATAGATGTCGGAATATAACCGAAAGAGAAACGTTCAGGGGAACACTCTCATTATCATTATTATTAATTTAATCAGGAATTATTTGATAATTGACCGATTCTCTCTTCGTTGCCAACTCCTTCAGTCAACAATGAAAATAATAACGTCAGTTGATTGCAAATAATATCTAAGTTTCACAATAATCAGTTCTAAAATACAAACGATCGATCAGATTCACAGGGAGCAGCCGCGCTCGATTGTACACTTTCTAAGTAAGTCGCATAAAAAGCCCATCTTGACAATGCGCGCTCTTTAATGAAGCATTGACCATCAACTTCACTTCATGTTTTCAAATGGCAACCCTACAAACAGCCATCATGTTATAGGAAATCGATAACTTATTTTTCAGTCACTTTTTGTCAATAAAGAAATAATGATCGAGACTATAGTACTTAGAGGTTTAAAAAAGCTATAGTACCGGCACGCTATGGTGGCCGTTTTGACAGATTACAATGGGGAGGTGAAATCTCAATTTATTCTCGAAAAAAAAAATATAATTAACGAGTCACATCTATAAGTTTTTAGATTTTTATCTAGTATTGCAAAAGGTAGTTGATTAAAATGTTTTAAAAAAAGGAAAATAAAAATGTTTAGCGATCCTAATTTGTTAAAATCTCAATTTTCGACAAGCAAATGTCGTAAAATTATCATTCCATAAATTTAACTGCAGTTACTATTGACAACAATGTGTAGCAATTAGCTCCTTCAACGTAGTTATGATTTAATACGAGACTTGATGAGCGGACAAAGGTCAAAACGGCCATCATAGCGTGCGGGTACTATAATTAATTTTAGTGTTTTCCCCTACATTTATACTCTACGTAAATTCATCCAGTTAAATATACTTAGTTCTGAATGCGTGTTACATGTTTGTGTTGTATTTTGTTTTACATTCTCACCTGAAGATTTCCGTGGACCAGCCCATCTGACTACACACAACCTCAGTTTTTTTTTTGTTTCTTTATTTTCCTTTCGACCATGACATTGTAGAAATCATTTCATGTAATGATAAATAATGATGGAGCCATAAAAATAAAAAGTGAAGTGACTACTTAATGCCATAAAGAGAATAGTAAATCGTTTCTTTAATAATTAGAAAACAACACGTAATAATATAAGGCACATTACGAAAGCTATAAACCGAATTTAACTACCTCGGTGGCCGAACGGTTACCATGCCGGACTGCCACGCAGAGGTCCCAGGTTCGATTCCCGGGCCGGGAGAAATAGTTGTATGGCCTACAATTATTTCTCTCGTGAGTTTGGGTGTAATTTGTGGTTGTCTATGTGTGTGTCCATGGTACCCGCGACACAGGGTTTCCCTAGTGCGGGGCTATGTTGAGTGTGTGCGTTATTTATTTATTTTATTATTTATTATACGTTTGAAGTGATAACTATCTCCGACATAAGTACCTAATAGGCAAAAAAGGCAGACTACGTATTGTTAACATACAAATATAATGTTTTGTATAAAAACATGCATGTATAATATTGGTTATTATTACTTATTACTTCTTTTTAAAAATATGAAAATAATAAGTATATTTCTGACTCAGCTTAATCCCTTTTCTTCTGTACAATAAGAAACAATATCGAATTGGGAAAAACGATGAATTATACTACCCTTTGAATTTCGGTTCTAGTCTGCCTAAATAATAATCTGCCCAAAATCGAACAAGCGGAAAAAGCTGATCAGATCATATTAATAATTTAATTTCTATTAACCTGTTACTATTACTGTGTTACCAAAGTACATCTCCATTATCTTATTGTTCTTTATGTTGTAGACTAGGTGGACGTCGATTGTGATAAAGATATCACTTGTGTCATTGCTGTTACATGCATTAACTTGTGGATGGATATATGTTGCGTGCAAAGATGGTAATTTACCATATTATCTCACTCACATACACACAGGAATAGAGGCGAAATAAGGTCCATTCATCCCTGGCAACTCATCAGGCCTTATATCATTTTTAAATATCAACTCTCGTTTGCGCTGAAATCAATAGAATGCTGATTAGTACAGCGCCAACAACTGACCTGTATGTACGTCTCCGTGTATTCAAAAAATATTCTATATTTATTGTAATAAAGATCATATCTCTAACTGTTAGTTATGTATTCCATTCGGTGGTGTGGGAAAATCAGCAAAACTTCTAATTACAAAACAAACGCAATCACATTTTCACATTTCATCGATAATTAAATATTAAATATGTAATTTTTCAATTTTCGTCCTTTATAGCAAAGCTCAAGTTAAACTGGTCAATTTGAAGTGAAACAAATGACGACGCCCGTCACTTGTTTCGAATTCGCGCTGGCCAATCGAAGCTCAGTTGTTACCGTAATGATTTGGCAGAATAGTTTTCAAACAAATTAAGTGACATTTCGTCTCTATTTCTGGTTATATACTCAATGTAAACACCTTACCTTTAAACTGAAATACTAATACTCTCGATCCATAACTAAGAGCAAGACTCCTAACACAAGTAGGTAAATACTTGGAGTGTCGGATCCAGTTTATTATGTATTAGAGGTAGATTAAGCCGTGGTAGCCTTAATGGTTTTTTGACCTACCGCCTTTCAAGCAGTGGCCGTGGGTTCGCATCCGGGTTCGCACTTCCGAGTTTCTCGGAATTGATGTGCGAAATTTAATTTGAAATTTACAATGACCTTTTCGGTGAAGGAAAACACCGTGATGAACTGCACATCGAAGAAGGTTCACGACTCTCGGACAATGTGTGAGGTGGGACGTGTAAATGGGTTTATGATGATGAAGGCTAACTTGAAGTACATAAACTTTTTTGCTTAGCATTTTTAACTTATCTAGACAGTCGGTATTGGCGATATTCGGACAACACAAATGATCATCACACGACGAAAAAAATTTGAATTTATTTATCATAAATCTCTCTATTGAAAAGTTGACATTTTGCAGATGTGGCCTTATTAGCTAGGGTGCGAATTTGTGGTTATTTACCTTCAGGCTTTAAAAAAAAAATTTTATATCGCAATTCATACAAAGTATTTTAATTAGATATTAACTTACATTTACATTAATATTCCCTAAAGAGTTGTTTAATATAGAATAAAACATTATATAGTCAAATATGGTAGCCAATGGACTATTTGAATGGATTAGTTGGATATTAAAAATTATATATTTTATCGTTAGCTGGATAAAAAATATTGTGATGTCTAATTATTATATATTAACTGCTTCCGTGGCCGAACGGTTACCATGCCGGACTGCCACGCAGAGGTCCTAGGTTCGATTCCCGGGCCGGGAGAAATATTTGTATGGCCTACATTTATTTCTCTCGTGAGTTTGGGTGTAATTTGTGTTTGTGTCTATGTATGTGTCCATGGCACCCGCGACACAGGGTTTCCCTAGTGCGGGGCTATGATGAGTGTGTGCGTTATTATTATTGTGTTGTGTATTGTATTGTGCTAATATTATATTAAATGTTTACAGATTTTCCAATTCAAAATCCTGTACTACCTGACATTTTCGCTCGAGATATTGATTTTAGTGTTTGGATGGATCCTAATAAGCGACACGGTAAATACTTTGATTTAAACTTTCACGATTTTCATACATTATTGACGAGGCATTGTAAATGTGCTATTCTCAAACATGCTCGGAAATGAATGCAAAAAAGAAACCCACAAAGTCTATCATTTATGAGTGTGAAACTGTTTGGCAAAAAAAAAGTATGGAGGTCCATTTCTGTCCGTTGCTCTCTAGTAACAAAAAGCTGTGTAAACAGACTAAAGAAAAATTGTCTTACAGTCAACTGCTCACTAGCGTCAGTGTTCTTAATTGCAAGAATTTAAAAAAATGTCTATGGTATTACTTAGTGAGTTTAGTTTTGGCGTACGAATATACACACCACATACTGAAAAAGTCGGTAAAATAAACGATAGTACTTTGAAGTTCTTTTATGTAATTTGTATTTTTTTAAGTTTTATATTTTCTTTGCGAAAATGAGTTCTAGTGAGAAGAACAATAATATTATTATATTACTGTAATCCGCCTAATTTAAAACAAGATGCAAAATTCGTCATGGGAAACTTGTTTTACTTTTCCTATTACACCTATCATTCTCTTTCATTCTTTAGTCATTTATAATTCCTCGCATTGTTTCATTAAAGCACTATACATACAGGTACCTCGGCAGAAACGGGATTTGCCTGACTCGTATAATACAAGGCTTCGCTTCTCTCGACTTTGTAACTCATACACGTCTGACAATCCTTCCCAGTCTCTGCAATAATGTACTAATAATATTAAGTTCAAGTATATTGAGGATTTATTTCAAATAACTGTAGTTTTTTAAATAGATCCTTAATAAACATTTAAATGACATTAATTTCATCATCAGAAACCCCCCAAACAGCACACAAGCTCTAATAACAAGCCGTACAATAGCCATTTAGAAGTTGTTAATAACGGCAAGCGCTGCATTAACAAGTTATCAGTATCAGTAGATGTATAAGCGACTTCAGCGCCGCTGTACCCCCAAAATGGGCACCTATTTATACGCTACGTGTCCTACAATGGTCGTAAATGTATGTTAGTACGAAGATACAACGGTGTTATGCGCGCGGTTTATTTGCGCCTAAGTGATACAAAGGTGCTACGCAAGCGGTTAATGTGCGCCTAAATATGACAAATGCGCTACGCGAGCAGCTAATGTGCGCCTAAGTAATACGAGGTGCTATTCGAGCGGTAATGTGCATGTTCTTGCCTGTTTAATTACTTTTGAATACGCTACTGAAGAACCTAAGTTTTGGCTTGTGTGCTGGTTAGGCCCCCTTTCCTAGTAGTTTTTTTTTTACGAAATTTTAAAAAAAAATTAAAAAAAAAAACACTTTCTTATTAGGATGCAGAACTACCACCTCAACTTTTACAGTAAATGGAACAGAACGAGTGGCTTTTCTTGTAGCCAGTAAGTGGACGGAGGACTACACTGTAGCGTTCCTGTATATGATCGTAATTTTAACTTCTACTAACATGGATCACGTAAGATACAATACAAATAAAAGTTTTTAAAACATTCAATTTCTAGAATAGTAAATATACACAAAATGCTCATAAAACATGACATGAATGTAATTTCATAATTTCCGAGGCGCAGCGACCGAAGCTTTCTTGGCATCCACTTAAATTGAACAATCGAGGAATGGAATAACTCGTTTATTCCGCAACCGATTGTATTTTAAAAGTAGCACAAAAAATACAACTCTACGAGTTATGACCAAGCCCAAATTTCGATTCTATATCTTGGACTCGACATTATTGAAGTTCCATGTTAAGAGCGATGCCACTCGATGCGTTGCGTTGGCGTTGCAATAGCGTTGCGTTGTGATACATATAACAGCGATACCACATGGTGCGTTAAAACGGCGCGCGGCGATGTAAAACATGCCACTCGAACAAGGGACCAGGAGACGAAGCGGAAAGGGGTGCTGCGATGCGTAAGTAAACGGCATTACGTTGCGACATTGCACTGCTCGTGTGGCATTGCGTTGAAACTGTGGGAAAATATTCTATTGCAAAATTTTGCACTCGCACATGTACAGAAGCGTAAAAAAAATTAAGAAATTTTTTTACGTGCTCAACAGAAATGAGAAAACGAAAAAAGATCACAGCGCTTCGGAATCGACGTTATATCTAGTTAAACCAATATCCACAAATATTTATGTTTGTTACAGGTGATTGCTGTCACTGTAAAGCACGTGTATTACAGAATTTTCGTTACAATTCTGCTCTATTCACTTGATTTATGGGTCTGTAGTGTAACTATCAGCACGGTATACACTAAGTTCCGTGAAATATATGTCTTTGATTTCCAAGTATCTAATCTTCTTAATTATTTAAAACTAAATGGTCTGTGCGAAGCACTTGTGGAGGCTGTGACGAAATACAGCAAACAATTGTGGAAAAGGCAGAAAGGTGTGACATCAAGTTTCTTTTAAGTGCAATCATATTATCATTTTTAACATAAATGGACGATCACACTATTTTTTATCGCGGTGATATTACGTACGTATTATTATAATATTATAGACGTATGTAACTAATTTTTTGGGCCACTATTGAAATTAAAATGCATGTAAACCCACGTATTCACTCTCGTTGAAGACGAGAGTGTAATCCTTTTGAGCGACGACGCCGCGAATTTCATTTGTCTGGGAAACCGACCAGACACACAGTAGTTTGAGATTAACTAGGCCTGTATAGATTCTTCAAAATCTTTAGTCGCCTTCGAAGAAAACCGACTCGTTTCCTTGGCATGCGACGTCAGGCAAAAAAGTATTTGCTTTACGTGGAACAAAGAAGTTGAACAACCTATTGATTTTGCATCATGAAAAACTACATTCCGCAGTCTAGATATCCTCTCGAAGCAGGGCTCCTTTCTATTCTGTTAGATTTGTCACGTTGTGTTAAGTTTGCGCTGCAATGGCACGTTCGTGGCGTCACTACTAATTTTCAAACAATATTTAAAAGCGCAACTGCAGCGCGACTGTCGCGCCACACGCGTGCCACTTTTGTAGCCACTTTTATAGAACAGACATTGTATGAAAATTTGTAGTGGCGCGACTACCGCACTTAAATTTTTTTTTGGATGGAACGAATTGTACGTACCCCTTTAATATTTATTCATGAAAATATTTTGTCAGTCTTGTTAACATTGTGAATTTGCGATGCAACTCAAGTTTGCATTTTAAATTTATTTTATACGGCAAATTTTGGACTCTGATTCCTACTGCTGGAGGCGGGCGCTGTGAAATATTTTACACGGGCTACGAAATACGATAAAAACTCGCTAATAAAATGTACAGTAAGCAAAAAAATACTACAAAGTTTTGTACATTTTTTTGTATACATATCTGTGTTTCTTTCTAGGTTGCTGGCTCCCTGAAATAACACACCAGGCACCGCATTGTCTGAGAGAGGATATAATGGAAGCTCTTTACATACACCACTTGCAGACTGCGCCGATATTTCAGGATTTGCCCCATTATTTTCTACGACAACTCTCTACGCGACTAACCAGGGTCGTAATATATCCGGGTCAGTATGAGAATATGGTTGATGCTCATTTATTAGGATAAAAGTTTTCCATGTGAAGTTAACCATATTCATCATTCAAGTATATTCATCGACGACAAAATAAGAATAAATAAAAATATTTTTGTTAATGATAATATTTTAAATAATAATAAACAAAAATATTAAAACGAATATTTCATCTGTTTAAAGCTAAATCCATTGTAGGCGACACACTACATTTTAATTGCATATTTATATGATTTAAGAACGTATATTACATGCCTAAAATAGTAAAGTAACATACAGCGCGTAACGTAACTCGTACAGCGCCTCCACCGGCGAAACGTAAATTATGTGGTTTTACCTTTAAACAGACGATTAAAACTTTCAGTTTTAGGTTTTCGCAATTGTAATACATTGGAAATGAAACTTTTTTGCGAACTAAGTCGCGACACAATGTTATGTTTGTAGTGTTATGGTGTTATGATTATAAAAATTAAATATTGCCTCCGTGGCTGAACGGTTACCATGCCGGATTGCCACGCAAAGGTCCCCGATCGAAGGTCAAAGGGAGAAATATTTGTATGGCCTCATTGACTTACAAATAAATGAACGACGGGTCTAATACAAAAACCACGAAAAAAATGTCCCAAGTCAACCTATTTAAACGTAGTGACATGTAAAGGAATATGAAAAAGCTAAATCGTTGATTTTAAATTGTAATGTCATCGCAGTACTGTCTAATTTTGCTTGCTTCGCTGTCAGTCGAACAAACGAAGACTAAAGCGTGAATGACGCTCTGTATACGATTTTAACGCCCTATAATTTCTTACACTTTTTAGCGCGGACCCGCCGTCCATATAATTGTAAGTCAATGTATGGCCTACATTTATTTATCTTGTGAGTTTGGGTGTAATTTATGGTTGTCTATGTGTGTGTCCATGGCACCCGCGACACAGTGTTTCCCTAATGTGGGACTATATTGAGTGTGTGCGTTATAATATTAAGAATGTTTTCTTTGAAAACGACTAAATATTATTATAGTACATAACGTAACTATTGTAGGATTTTTCTTTTAGGAAAACACATTGTTAGAGAAGGTGACGTAATGCCTACTATTCACTTTATTCATGAAGGAGAAGTTGAGAAGTGGCATACCGATTCAAGGTAAATGAGCAAGTAATTGTTATATTCATTCAATTAATAATTGTGCAATTATTATCAAAAGTAGGTCAGCTTTTGAAATTCCCAAAAGCAATGTTATGGTATCTGCTTACATTACGCCTTAGCACAAAACGGAACTCTGACAAGTAGCAGAACCACACATTTTCTATTAACATTAAACGCTTAACATGGACAAGAAATAAAAAAACTCGGACGCGTAGAGAAACCTTTCTTTTGTCGAGGCGCCACTCAAACATGGCAAAAGTAATTATATCGTATACGTAGCGGTAGGATTTACTCATGTATTTTTAACCAGGTGGTGCCTGCAACTTAGTAGCCTATAGAAATGATTGGTTCTCTGTACTAAATTTCATCCCCTACTTTACCTGTTAACGGGGAATTTATTTTTGTGGCAAAAAGTAGCCTAGGTCCATCTCTTAACGTTCCATTTATCTCTATACCAAAATTCAACAATTTTGATTCCACTGTTTAGGCGAGAAAACGTAACGGACTGAGTGACTTTCGCATTTATTAATGGGTCATTTTAGGTAAGTTTTTTTGTATTCAATTTTGGTGACAATTTGTATTATTTAATGTTCGAGTGTGGTAACCTGAAATGTTCTTTAATATATCGTGTTCTCAGGTTTTCGTGATTGTTACACATAGGAAATGAAACTATTTTTCCGGATTTAAATCGCGTATTTTTATTTTTTCAAACAAACCGACGTTACGGGCCCTTTACAGGTCCCATGGTCACGGTTGACTGACGGTCATGGTCATGGTCAATAATAGTTTCGTTTCCTATTCTTTAATATTTCACGATGATATTGTAATTAAATTTAAAAAATTGTCACCGAAATTGAATAAAAAATCTTACCTGAAAGTTACTATAATATTAATATGAATTTTCCCCGCGTGACCCATCGTACCACTAAGGAAACCCTTTGGTGGTGTGGTGGGTATTTTTATGTCTCTACCGTACTACCAAATCGTAGTACGATAATAGTGTGGTAACCATGAGTAAAACAATACCTTTAAAAAAACATTGTTATTTTTTATTATAATGAAAAGATATGTTTATTAAAAAAAATACTGTACCTTGATTTATAAAACAAAGTGATATATGATAAATGATTTTTAAAACAAGTTTACTATTTTAGTTGACACTATATCGCTCATTTTCAAGGGCATTCAAAGGCATCTCTATACGGTAGGGACTTCATAAATACCCACCATACCACCAGTGCAGTGGTTGTCATGTATGCACAGGAGGTTTATGCGGAGTTCACGTGTAGCCTGTTCCGTACGTATCCGCGTTACTGTAAAACGATGTTATAACGCCACATGTGTTACTCCGCTCCGGTGCCGGACGGTCCGTAGATAAATCCGCACTGCTCTTAAACCAGCCTAAGAGTATAAAATTCTTTAGTTCGCCTTAGAGCATAAGGTCGTCATACTGAGGCAAGACAGATTGAGGCTATCAGCGCAGTAGTGTTGTTGTAACCCACATTGAATTTTTTTCTACAATGTTACATTAAATTATACTAAAGTACATAATTATTTTAGTATTATTATTTTATATGTTATTTTCGTGTATAGAAAAAAATATTTTTTTATAAATGAAAGTAGCATTGGTAGCAACTACAATCGCAATGCTTATATTTTCGCGTATACACACGTTGCTCCAAGTCATTCATAACAAATCTTAACAAAATATGTACATTAATTAAAACTGTTGAGATGCAAGTCTACCTCAGTTATAGAATAAATTATAGTCGATTCTATTATCAACATTAGAAACAAAACGTATTCAATATCTCATTTTTGTATCATCAATATTTTATTCCTGTTTTATGGTATCGGTGTTTCTAATTCTTGGTGTAGTGTTGTATTTTGGCTTTTAATTTTTGTATTAATTTTCTTTTACTATTTTGTATTAAATATGTTGTCATGTTATTCGCATAACACTACATTTTTTTTTGATTTTGTAACTATACCTACACCATAACTTACTTCATACAGTACAGCTTTCATTTTCATTTTTCACGATGTTGTTGTGTGTTAAGTTAAGGAAAGGAATTTTGCTGGTAAAAATAATGTTTCAGTTTCATTATCTTTCTTTCTATTCTAGAGGTGATTCGAGATTAGCTTCAGTGTTGTTGATTAATGGATACTTTGGTATAATACCGGGGCTCTACCCCAATTTGCCTTATAAGTTTACTTATTACACGCGTACGGTGAGTCAATACAATTAAATTAGCATCCTTGGTCTGAGTTCATAGAGTACTTAACATACAAGATGGATGTCTAAGATTCGGGAGTAGGGTAGACCGATGACAGTACAATTAGTAGGAGCACGAGGATATATTTATCATTTTACTCCTACCGGTAGGAGCATAGAGACGTATTAGTCCTCGTCCTCTTAGCAGTGGGGCACCCAGTAGGAGCATGAGGAAACGGTCTATTGTAATGGGGGAACAACGGGTTTTTTGGATCCAATTACCGTGCAGCCGAGACCGCAATAAAAAACGATTTTTGTCGAGACCGCAATAAAAAACGATTTTTGTTCCATGCGTTTTATAAAACGTAATAAATTTACCAAAAATAAACTTAAGTTTTATTGTATTAACTGACACTTTTTGGATGTGTATTTGGTAGAAAAGTTTTTTTTGAAGGACATTTTGTAGTTGACCGCTGATGGCCTTGACTATGCCACCGGATAAGTATGTTCAAACGTGCAAGCGTCCTCAGCGGCAACTCCCACCCCCGTCCTGCACAGAGTCATTATTATTTCGAGCGATCTTTTTAAATAAATTTATTTTTGTATGAAAGTAAAATCTGATGAACTATGAAAAGTCACGGAATAAAAGTTGTTGTTTATGATAAGTTGCTATTACGTTGCGTTTGCACAAACGAGCTAATATTATAATTTTGTATTCCAGTTAGCTGTGAAAATCTTATTGTCGCTTCAATGACACTATTCAATTTAATTACCATTATTTTCTTTCTCAGGTCGTGGATCTGGTTACATTAACATTTAACAATTGGCAAGATTTATTAGCTGGCTATCCAGATATTAAAACATTGTTATATAGCAAAGCTAGTGTATATAAAAAGGAAGTGGAATCCCATCACTAATTAGAATAATAGTGTTTTTTTCATATGTTTCATTAACACTTAATAGTAGCTATTAATAAAGCTAGCTTTTTTGTTCTTTTTTCTTTTGTTTGTACGTTATGTAATTCAAACACATATATCTATAAGAGGGCTACGTGGATAATCGACCAAATTCACAATTTCCAATTTTCCAAAAAAACAGGGGAACGTTTGTAATATATTGAAAATACTAAAATGAGCATAATACCTGCAATTCTTGAGATATTGCAAGTTAATTTTATAGTTTTACTTATTTGACATTTATTGGTGGTCATACTAGCAAGTTATACTGATGAATTGTTTGTCTTGGTGATCATGTTTAGTCACCATACTTCGCTGGCTCAGAGACCCGAAGTGAATCTTGGCCTCCGATGCCATTCAAAAGGACGCAGGGCAAAGTACGCCATTTCTTACGGTTTTGAGTCAGTTCCGATCATTCGGGCACATCCAGCTTCCTCTGGCGACTTCATCCTTCCAGCGATATCTCGCACGCCCCACTGGACGATGCCCCGTAGGTCGCCTCAAATACGTTCTTTTAGCAACTCGATCCTCTCCCATTCTTTCCACATGCCCCGGCCAGCGAAGTAGCCAGGCACTAGATCATCGATCTCTCTATTAAATCCGGCACTCCAGTTCCCAAATTCTCCTTGGATTGGTCCCAGAATCTTTCGGAATATCTTTCGTTATAATTTTATAATAGACCTAGATAAAAATAAAGTGATTTGTGAACAAATCACCTATTACAAAGAAAGAGAAAGAAAGAAAGAAAGAAAATAATATTTATTTGGGCTCTACTAGTAATATAAAGTTAATCTCGATACTAAACATTGAGATCCAAAATGTTCACCACTCAGCATTTGTTGAGTTGTGCATGCAAAACAACCCAACGCTGAGTGGACGCCACCGAGAATAAATACAAGATAACAAAAAATATCAAAATAAAACACTTTACAGAGAAAAAGATATACCTAATATTTATTTATACGTAAAATTGTGTATGAAATAATATATTATGTGGCTTAAGATAGATTATGTAGGAGGACTCAATATATATATACATCTAATAGATAAATACATCTAACAAACATAAGGAGATACTGAATTAACCATTGGAATTAACCTAAAAAATGTGAATAAATGTTTATTTTCGAAGGTATAAATGACAGGAAAAAAAATCATTTTTATAATTGTAGAACATTTTTTTGACATGGCACATAAAGTGACCGAAGATTTACTAAAATTCGCGAGCGTGCAAGTTTTTCTGGCGCGCGGGGGTTGTGACAATTCGTCAGATTTTCATATCCATGTCTCAAAAACTTACTAAGTAAAAAACGAAATGTTATATTATGATTGACGATCGCAAGTTCGATCAGCAGTTTCGGGGTTCACCATTATTTTCAAGTAATGCGTTCAGCGTAGGATAAAGAAGCTTTATTCGTGCATTAACCTCATGGCTTCCGCATGACATATCCAGCACTGCAAAAAAAAAATTGTGTGAAAAATGCTAGTACATAGATGTCATCAGAAAAGTGGCTGTTTGTGTATAATGATTACTTATGTGACCTGGATCAAGTCAGATACTCTTGTTGTGCACCCGCGTAAATCTATCTCAATGAGTGTAATTAATGACAGTATTCGAATTCTTTAAAACGTCGTTACATATACATACTTATATTACAATGTATTATATAAACTACAGGACTTAGCCTGAATCACGATTAGTTTAGCGTTGCACCACATTTATATCCATCACAATTACTTTTTATATACTCTAAATTGTGGAAGTCAGTGGATTTCAAGCCACTAAAGTGGGCATTATAGCGGGTAAAGTCCCCCTTTTAACTCAGGCTCAAATGGAAGGTTCAACTAGTTTTATTTTGTTTTCCCAAAGGCTCGACATATTTCACAAAGGCTTACTTACCCACTTACTACTTTAAATAATTTACGGCCTGACTATCTGAAATTTTAAACATAAATTAATCTGATTTCTCTCTCTTCTGAGTTCGATTTACATATAGTAGTGTAAAAAGGTAAGGCTAACATTGACTTACAAATAAATGGACGACGGGTCTAATACGAAAACCACGAAAAAAATGTCCCAAGTCAACCTATTTAAACGTAGTGACATGTAAAGGAATATGAAAAAGCTAAAATGTTGAATTTAAATTGTAATGTCATCGCAGTACTGTCTAATTTTGCTTGCTTCGCTGTCAGTTAAACAAACGAAGACTAAAGCGTGAATGACGCTCTGTATACGATTTTAACGCCCTATAAGTTCGGACACTTTTTAGCGCGGACCCGACGTCCATATAATTGTAAGTCAATGAAGGCTAACCATAGTTTATAATAAGACAATAGGTGCCTCAATGCCTACACGTCCTCGGATCGTAGTGTTGTCATATTTTTACTTGTAACTATAGGGTGTAAACATAATTGGAAGAAATGGGGTATTCATCACAGTATATTTTAGTAGAGTAGAGCTTCTTGTGAAAGTTTATCCAGAGAAGTACTGCCACCTTACCTAATGTGAGCATTACTGCTTGGAGGAGGAAATAGGTTCTGCGTTCCGGTTTAGAAGAGTAATGGTGCTTTAAATTACAGGCACGTGTGTCTTATCAACTTCTGTCAGGGTAACGGGCGCAGTGGCAGTACCCATAAGATCATTGCGATTTAAAGCTCTGAGTGGCACTTCATCTGTTATGGACAGGCGTCTCGGCGTCCGTCCCGTCACTTGGTATTATAAAAAAAAATAGTAATTTAGAATAACCTTAGTCAATTGCAGTATTTGCGTTACTCATTATGCAACGATTGCAACAAAAACTACTAAAGTTTTCTCTCAATCTATATCATCATCTCAGCCCGTTAACACCCACTGCTGGGTATAGACGTGCTCCTCCTCCTAAGCTATATACGCATAATAAGGACAACAAAAATCAACTACAATATATTATAATAGTATGGAACAGATATTTCATTCACAATTTGAAACGCCATTGTTATGGGGACGTTTAACCAACTGGGTGAAAATTACTAAGTCTGTGCGAATTGCATTATTAATTTTTATGTGACGAAACTTGTTGCTGATTTATATTTGTGTCTTTCTGAAGAAGCCTACGTTGCAGTTTGACATAATTGTGTTAATAATTTGAAAATTGTGTAATTATTGAGGAGTGGAATGATTATCTGAAAAACACATGTCGTGAAATAAAAAAATTCAACCTGTACAACATTAAAACAAGATAATAAATTTAGGTATAAGCCTTTCATCCTTTTAAGTGAAACGGGTTCCTATCGAAAATAAATGAGTCTGCAAATACAAATGGTTAATCGCACAAATGTTTGGGTGTACGTAGATATTGTTTCGCATTTGCTTCTTGTTCGACTCCCATCGCTGGCAACTGAAGACTTACCTAAGCCGGATTAGGAACAATGTACAAATAAGTGCCTCAGTGTGTTCCATCATTTCTGTAACGAAACCTTTCCTAAACAGACATTTTTAATGTGACAGTTTTTGAATTCTGCCGTAAGCATAGGGCTAAATGTCAAGGTTAAGAAATTAGATATCTAAATTCTTAGCTTTCATCTCATCATCAAATAGTTTCTACGTTCCAATGCTGAGCGCGGGTCTCCTCTCAGACGAGGCTTTAGGCCATAGTCCGCCACTCTGGCCCAAATGCGGGTTGGAGACTTCACACGTTGTCCGAGGGTCGTGAACCTTCTTCGACGTGCTGGTTTCATCACGATGTTTTGTTTAGCACTCTTGGTGTAAGGCCACATCTGCAAACTGATAACTTTTCAGGAGAGAGGTTTAGAAATTCTACGAACGAAGTTGTTCAATAAATTTTGTATACTCAAACAAAGGCGCTATAAAACTTCATATATAGGTTGTTTCATGTAGTTGGTATTGGATTCTACCAATCCATATCATAAAAAAAAATTTAAAAGGCTACATCGTTTGTTTAGGCGAAAAACTTCTACAGTGACACGTGGCGATACAGTGTACATTTATCCGGAGTCACACAATGCTATCTGACGTGGAGCGTATCATTGCGTAAAGGAAGTGGCGTTGGGCGGGTCACATAAGACGCTTAAGCCGCAGAAACGAGAAGCGTCGGCCGTCAGAAGCTAGATGGAAATGCCCCGAGACCGAAGCGAATGGTGTGCAAATAAGGAGGCCTACACTCAGAAGTGGCTAAAGGCTGAAGAAGAAGAACAAGATTTTTTACTGCTACGGTAGTTGGTCTTATTTCGTTAAATACGGTATGATTAATAAAATTTTTATTGAATTGATATTCAATTATTTTTTGTGAAATTACTTCACTAGTTTGTTATAATTATAACCGGATCGAAGGAATTTTTTCTGAGTGTTCGATCTTTGTATTAATAATTACGGTATGATTTTTCTTAGCATTATTCGATATCTTACTTTGAGCGACATCTTTGGCACAAATGATAAGTATTTCTGGAGCTTTCAAAATGAAAAGAAAACTTTTAATTACTTTTAATCTCATTTTCCTTAGCGGAGTACTGGTAATTTCGGACTTGCTACACCTCCTACAGGTATCAGATCAAATTAATTTCATTTGAAGTTTTTTTAAGGGTTAATGGGGGCTTATGCCTCGAGGTTAATTACAGATTCTTGCCCCAGCTCTTACCCTTGTTAAGCCACCACATTGAGTTGCACGTTTTGTTTACAAAATTTCCTTAAGTACACAATATTCTTCTCATAAAAAGTAATTAGATATTTTTATAGAGAGTTGGCATCTTTCTATGGGTACTTTAGTAGTAGTAGAGCTACTTGTGAAAGTGTTCATCCAGGGAACTACTGCCATCTTACTTATTTCTGCCGCCAAGCAGTAATGTGCTCGTGAAATTACACGCATCTAAGACTTGTCATTGTCTTATGTCTCAGGTTGACGGGCACGGTGGCAGTGCCCCTCTGATCTTTGCGTTTTTAACCTCTGAGTGGCATTGCAATTGCT